GTGTGATGCCAGCTGTGTGACGCTCACCAGCGCCCAGCAAACCCGCCTGGAAAGCAGCCCTGGGGGCTACACTAGGAGGGGGTGATGCCTCACCACTACAAAACCATCAAAGCCCCCTCCTCTTCCAGCTGGGGCCTTGGCGGCGCATCAGAAATGAGAGGGGAGCCGTGTGCTCTTCCGCTGTTTCCCCCCACCCCCCCCCACCGCGGCTGAGAAGCTGAGAGCCAGGCGTGCCTTGTTCTGATAACTCAGCAAAGTTTGGGGTTTGTCTGGACAAACAGCCCGTGCCCTCCAGCATCTCCACCAGCAGGGTTTGAAGGGCAGGACGGAGCGGGCAGTGCAGGGAAAAGCAGGGGCAGGGACGTGGTTGGGAAGATCTGCCTTCAGATCACTGATAAACTTCAACCGTGAGCCAAAAAGTACTTTAAACACACCCCCCACCCCGATGTCCTACATGCTGGGTTTTAGGGCGTGAAAGACTTGGCTCAGCTCAGTGTGCTGTGTCACAGTGTTCCCCATCAGGACTACAGCTGGGGCACGCTGTGGGATGAACCCAAGAGATGGACTGTCCGAAATGTGGGCAGCACCAAACATGCTGGGGCGGAGCGGTGTCAGTGTGTGCGGGGAGCCTTCCTCACCACCCCTCAGGAGCATCAGGCTGGGTTTGGTTTCAGCTAGTCAAACTGACTCTCCACTAGGAACAAACCTCCTGGTGCAAACATCTCCGGGTCTGAATCAAATCCTTCATTTGCTACTAAAAATAATGGCGATGAATGGAGGAATTCGCAAATCCTCCCAGGGAAAGGAAATTATGATCCCATTAACCTACATTACAGCCATCACCATTAAGAGATACCATTAACCTGCAGTTCCCACACTGGCTTATCTGAGATACTACAGTCATCCCTGTAATTCTGGAGATGCTACAGCCATCCCTGTAATTGTGTGGTAACTCTTGGCAAACGCTGACTTTTTAATAGGCAGTATTGCAGCCAAGTACTTTGTCGGATTATAAACCCCAATCCACGTAGCCTTTCATGAGTGTTTTGGCTGCTCAGGCAAAAGCCTGTCTCAAACCACGCTTGGGATGAGAGCTCCAGAACAGGATTGGGTCCCCTGTCATCTGAAATGATAGGATTTTTACTACCTCACAAGGTTATGAGCAGTCATAATCGATCAATACGGAGGATGACGGGAGTATCAAGAGTTTTAATGACATAACAGCGTGTTTTAGGAGTTGTTGTTTCACTTTCCAAAGAAACATATAGATTTTCAGTGGCTTTTCTTCACACATTTACTGATATTCAGCCACCAAAGTGCTCTTGAGTACCCATATTTGGTGTATGAGTTTAACTCAGTCCTGCTAGTTGGAGAATTGGAATGTTGTTGTTTTATATATATATATATTTACAAACACATGGTCAATATCCTATTTCCTAATCCGTTCTACTTACTTTACACATTTAGGCTCTGATTGCAAACACTGATTCTGTTAAATTTAGTAATCAAATTTTCATATATTCAGAAGCTTGAATTTTCCTCAGCTTTTTACTTTGCGTTGTCCTGCCTAACAGCCAAAAATTTTTTTTTGTTTTATTCCTGTGGGGGTTTTTGGGTTTGTTTCTTCCCACAGAGGAAAGAAATGCAGGGAAGTCAGTGTGGTTTTACAGTAAAGGACCTGGAGGGGTCCTCAGGACTCATAACTGGACTTTATGTTCTTTGTTTGGCCATAAACTAAATTCAATCCTATGCCTCAGTTTCCCACCTGTAAGATAGTGGTGAGGCATTACACTCATGAGTAACATTAAGATATATTCAGTATTTGTCTGCTGTTCTCAGGCTGAAAAAGGATAGTTTCAGAGAAAGCTGATGTTGGAAATGGGCTGTTGGGCATCCACAAATCTCTCATGACCTTAATTGTGGTGCCCAGGGGAAGAAACTCTCCCTTTCCTTCCACAGCAGGTCAAAAAACAGTTGAAAAGCTCTTGGTAACATCACCAAAGCAAAAGGTCTTGGGGAGCTTCAGGTCTGAAAATCAACCAGACAACATGAGGACAGAGTCCTACAACCTTGGCCTCTGTTGCCACACTTGAAAAAAGGCAATAAATACTGTTTCTGACTGAGTGTGCTCCCTGCAGAGCTGCTAACTATCCTTCCCACTTGCCTAAGGGTTAACTGAGCCCTAAGAATGTGGTTGATATATTATCATAGCCCTGATGAAGTCATCAAAGAGTTCGTAAAAATGTGCAGTTCTCATACCCTTCTGTGAGAGATTTTAGAGGTTTTTTTTCCCTACCCTTGCAGGTTGTCTCTTTATAAAAGTAATTTCTCAGAAACATTCTCAAATCTAAAAACAAGCGAATCCGTCTGTTAAAGGCTACAGTAAAGCAGAACCTTTTTTTTCATAGGTTAAAAAAACACACACACCAAACAAACCCAAGTAATAAGATGTATATTTATGTAGAAGTCTGATTTATGAAAAATGCTGTTGTGGCTTGTGATTCCACATGAAATGGTCCAGTCTCGGAATAAAAATCGTTGGATGCTGACATGTAGTGATGTGCAAACTCCCCTGCCTGAGCTGAGTATATTTCTAACTTTGCTCTAATTATCAATCACTTGATTCATGTCAGACCACTCACATTTAAATCAAGTTTTTGTGCTATTTAGACAGGTACTCTGTAAACACAGGGAGAAGAGATGTTTTCTGGAATGACTGGGAATGGCTGCCTGAGTGGCTGTCAGGAGTCCATGTTCTGTATGAACAAATTAAAAGCAGGAGTCTTTCATGCTAAATTTGTATGGCCCTCTGCACAAATTGCCCAATTTATTTAAGTATTTTCTGGTGGCGAGATGTTTTGGGTCACGAGGGTTGATAAGAAGCATTAAATAAAACACTGCAAGTCGAATTTAAGGATAAAATGAAATTCTCTCTGTGTTGGGTTTGATGTTCTTAATATAATCCCTGGTGGACAGTAGTCTGCATTACAAAACCTTCACACATAATTTGGCACAGTTTGGATGATTTGCAATCTCTCCTTCGCTCTCTCTGCAGAGGATGCCCTGAGCAGCTCCTGTGTGGAGGCTGGGTGACCTCTCCTCTCTCAGGAGGGTGGTCTCCTCAGGTCACTGTTCAGGTCATTTCTGCAGCAGAGTAAGGAAGCTTTGACTGTTCCTTCTCTTGTGTGGGTAAACAGAGGGCTTCCATTTCCAGCACACTACCGGTCCCTAACCTTCAGAAGCTCGGCAGTCACCGAGGGGGATGGGGAAGAGATGCCAAAAGAAAGTGCAGAGCAAAGAATGTAAAGAATTTTGCTTATCTGTGACAAGTTTCTAAGCGTGTTTGATTATGGTAATAAGGATACCTCATTAACAAAGGATTTTAAAGGCATGTACACCATTGATAATCAGCCCTGGCCAAAGTACATTGTACATTTTTAACTTTTTTTTCCCCTCCCAATGGGATAGGTTTGAAATACAGCAGCACCTTAGTTAAAATGTGGAATTTCACTCGGTGCAGGAGGGTGGGGCTGTGGCAGCCAAGAAAGGTGCCCTATCTACCTAAGATAAAGTCCCCATCACCGAGAGAGATGACTGTAAAATATGCACCATTCCCAATCCTTAAAACTCTCCCTAATTGCAAATCTCCTCATTGTTTTAACTTATCTCTGCCAGTGCTGTGCTGAATTAGTCCTTTGGAGTCCCTGAATGGCATCAAGGGAAGAGAAGAGGAAAGGAAGGATGGGAATGAGAGCCAATGAGAAACAGAAGAAAGCAAGATAGCCAGAGAAAAGGAAAGGGGATGGGTGTTAAGTGTAATTGCCCTTTGGCTTCCTGTGAAATTGTAAAAGCTTTTTTGAACACCCTTGCTGAACCAGCCACACTGATGTTTTCTGCACCCCTGCTGCATGGGAGGGATCTGGTGCTGGCGGGGGGGGGGGGGGGGAAAGGAAAGAAATGGTTCAGCAAGTTTTCCTCCTCTGTTCAGACAATTTCTGGTGTGTGTCTTGCTGGAAACTGGCTGAGTGAATGTCCCCCACCACCAGCCTCTGCACTGATCTCTGTGTTAGATCCCTTGACCATCTCCCCCCCAGACCCAGTTCCCCACTTGTGGGTGGGAGATCCACCACCTCTGTGATCACTCCCTTTTTAGGCCAGTCTGGCACTGTAGCAGGCAGTTTTTTCACCAACAAGCACTCTGTGGGAATTTACTCCAGCTCCACCTGATACCTGGAGTATTCCTATTTTGGCATCCTTATCTCCTAATGAGTTTATAATCTAGAACAGAACAGTACCCCTGCTGTTCTCCTGCCTTCTTATCAAATGATTTCACAATCAGACGCATTCAGAGCTGCTTCTGGCCCCGTGTGGGTTCCTCCGTGGGCGCTTTTCTCAGCAGGAATGGACCTGAGCAGAAATTTTGTGTTGTGTCAAACAGGAGAAAAATGAAACCCACCTATGCACGGCGCTCTTGCAGCTTGTTCCAGGTCTAACACTGGAGTGCTGGCTGCCCAGCTCTAAATGTGGATATAACTTAGTATTTCTTCTTCCAGTGCCTTTGGGTTGAAGAAAGCATTTTGACATCCACACACTTCTAATAAACTAAAGCCGTAACGAGGTTTTTTCTATTTGTATTGCTCTTTTGTTGTCTCCTATGCGCATTTACCATTGATTTTTGCCAAACTCCCCTATACTGTAACTGTGCAGTTATAAACTGGTGTTATTGAGGGGAACTGAGGAGGGAAAGGATTGCCATAAAATTACTGGCTGCAAACAAACACTGCAGCTCTATTTGGGTGTTTCTCAGAAACACCTGGAGATTATTGCATACAACCTTCCTAATCAGTAAATCAGCCAGTCACTGATTGTTTCCTTAGCCACATCAGGCACAAATGGAACAGCTGTTTAATTTACCTTTTTTTTTTTTATGGTAGAAAATTCATATCCTGAATCATCGATATCTTTATTTTGCAACATGCCGACATTAATTTTTTTCTTTTCTCTCAGTGTTGCTGTAAAAGACAGGAGGATCTGTGTGCGCGTTCAAGGTGCGGCCTGATGTCATCCTTCAGGGTGGAAACCTGCATGGAAACCAAGCAAAACTCTCTGGAGCTTTCCCAAGTAAGCTGGGACATCCTTTCAAATCCAAGGGTTGGGTGAGGGGGGACACTTGCTAACGTGAGCAGGAACTGAAGGAGCCAAGGCTTTGCAAGCTCTAGAAACTCTAAAGTAAATGGCTTTGGTTGGCTTGAGACTGTGCAACAGCCAGCTACAACTGAATGCTTTATTGCTGTCTGGAAGTGTTTATTTTCTGAACATAAATTCAAGGGACAGATTCAAGGCATGTCTAGAAATAAAGCATATCATCATGTGAGCTAAGCTGACAAGGACAATTTACTGTACCCTGCATTCGTTCTGGGCCAATCGGAAGAGAAGAGGCTATTAACATCCTGAAATTCCCGCTGTTCGGCTCTCCCTGTCCCTTCACTGAACTCAGGAATGGCATGTATTAACCCCTTGAGGGCCTCCCGTGCACATCCGAAGAAGGGACACTTGTTTAGGCCCGGTAGACATGTGCAGTATGTCCAGCTCTTATTGACAGCAGCAGCAAACTGCTTTAAGAGCCGTGACACGGGCTGCGCTGTCTGGAGGCCCAGCACAGGGTTAACGTCTGTCCCAGAGGCAGTTTTCGGTGCTGTGGATGAGCATTGACTTACTCTGTTTAAATACGAGAGTTCACTGGTCAGCTTGACCTTGAATTCTCTTGCAAAGACAGGAACAAGTTGACATACTGTTCGTGTTTTCAGTGGCTGCAAAGTTCAGGGAACACAATGCAACTGCAGCTCACATGCCGTGAGCATCACTTAGAGAAGAGAAGGGAAAGTTCATTTCCTACTTTTTAAATCCCGCCAGCAAGAAAAGTAACAAAACCAGAAGAGAGTCAGAGGGTAAAACATAAAGGGCACAGCAGCAGATATTGCAGAGGAAAGGTGCCATTCACAGTCAGGAATGTGTTATAATAAAATCCACAAGCAAAAGTCCACAGAGGACTGTTTGCATAGCAGCATTACAATATCTACATGTGTAAATAGAGGGAACAGCCTTTAAATCTACGTTACAGCAGCAACTGTTGGGTCTTTTGCCTGCAGACACACTGCTTGAAGTGTTCCTCCTGACTTAGTGGATGTCCTTGTATAGGACAGCACGATCAGCCCCATTGCAACATTGCAGCTGAGGGAAACATGTTACTCTGGCTCCGAATAGGAATATTCTGTGTACAGCACTGCAGAAGGGCAGTACACTTAACTGGTCTCCAGCTCCTTCTTTTTGTCCTATCCCCTCTCTGCGTGGTAGAGGGTACAGATTCAGCACAGCAACTCATTCCTGTCCCTTGTTCCCAGTGAAAAGCACATCTCCGCACCTCCTTCTGTGAGGAAAATATAAGCTGGATCCTCATGGAGTGCATGGGGACAGGGAAGCCCGAAGAGAAAACTCCTTATCGACTTTCCTAGGTTTTCTTTTAAATCAAGGCAGGCTCACTTGAAGCCTGGTAAGGCTGAAGGCACAGCACACCCAGGCACTCCTGCAGCTGCAGACCTGGAGAGGCAGGAGCAGGAGTAACCGCTGGATCCTGGGTCATGGTCAGTCCCTCAGACAGCTTCTCTGTTTATTACTGTGCCTGAGAACACACCAAGTAAGTCCACACATATTAAAAACACACACACTCCCCCCGCAGTTTGGTCCCATTTTTCATGTGGGCCTTAGTCATTCCTCTGCATTTTGGCACAGAGTTGTGCAGCAGACTCTCTCTGCTATATTGGCACAATGTTCACAGCTGGAATAAAAATATTTGTTCTTCTGCCTTCTCCCAAATCACTTGGGCTCTCTTCTCCCACTGAGGAGCCTGTGTCATTCATTCCCTGGCAGTACACAGGGCTTAAGTATTGCAACCTTCAGTACTAGACCAGAATAATATAAGAACCACAAAGAATCATTTATCTGGCATGACATATTTTATGCTCTTGTGTAAGTTTTCCTAAGGGAATTCTGAATGTCCTACTGGGTGACTGTAAAGACACCAAGGACTCAAAGTCATGGGCATCATCTTTATTACAAGACCTAAAACACTCAGCACCAAGACAAAGCTGAGTAATTTTAACTTTTCTGAAATTAAGAGACTATATTGTGTCACCAAAGTCCTTCCACAGATCCCTTTAAGAGCAGAGTGGTTTGGGGCTGAAAGGATCCTCGTACTGAAATTGATCTTAACCTTCTTTTACTATAGAAATGTTTCTGTGCTTTAAAAATACACTCCCCATTTCTTACTTTCAGACTACCCTAATCTCAAATTAGCCTTCTGAGCAAAGGTCAGGAGTGCAAGAGTGCAAGTCTTACTGGTTCAATTAAAGGAAATAAGACAAAATCAGACAGGCTATTGCAGAAGTCTTTGTCAACAACTTCCTGAATGCTGAGAGGCTGTTCAGGCATAAGCTGTCTATACTGCCAGATAATGCTGTTATTAGAAACACATTAGTGTAAGAAATTAAAAAAAATAAAATAAAAGAGATATACATGGCTAATAGATACATTCATCTTGTGGCTTTCACAGTAAAAGTCTCAGACTAGTGCTTGTGATTAATTATTAATGTTTGTCATCTTGTTCCTTTTTTTGGTGTGTTTACAACTTAGCCTTGCCTCTCTATTTTTTTTCCAAGCCACTTGCACATAACAAAGCCCAGATAACTACACTAGTAGCTGTCGTGCTATTACTCGCTTTAATAATGTCCTTAATAATGATGAAATGTTAAGTATAATGTACCAATAAATATTTTGGAGTCAGGGAACTGGCAGGTATGTGGGGAAGGCACTTTGTGTTAACAGTTGATATACTGTTGTTGCACTTATGAAAACTGCGTTTAATGCATTTGCGTAAAGATCCTCTTTTTAAAATGATTTTCCTTTCTTCCTTTCCTTTTTATTTTTTTTTTTGGTTGTGTCCTTGTGCCTGAACATTTGACCCTGGGGGAGTAGGATGGAAAGATTGTTTAAACAGCAGAGAATTGTTTATTTCAATTTTCTCCCTCTTTTTTCCCCCTTTTCAGTTCTCTTTACAGGTAAATCACTTGCGATATGGGAGAATCTCAGAAAGTTCAGAGGTTTTGGGGCAGGAAACGCCTCCCCTCCCCCCGAAGTTTGGATTCAGAGCTAAATTTATCTGAATGCTGTCATTTCCCTGCTTTTCCTTCTCTACCTCCTTCACTACATTCCTCTTTCTCCCTCCCCATTCCCAGCCACCCAGATCTTATCCTTTCCTTGACCTGCAGCTCCCCCTCCCTTGCCTTCCACGGCTCTAAAATGTCCGGAGGCCTCGGCTGAAGGTGGTAGTTTCTCCTGGTGTTTTTTTTTCATTCCTGAGCTGTACTATAGCGAAAAATGCTCTGTAATCCCCTGCCCTCAGAGGTTGTCTCCATCAACAGATGCTAAAAAAAGGTTTGGTGGCCCCTTAAGAGGAGAAGGCAGCAGTGCCCAGCAGAGGAGTCCAGGCTTGCTCACGCCTCGCTGGGTGCAAGTGTCTGCTGGTGATACAGCAAAGGGCTCATGCGGGTGCAAGCAATTTGTTTTAGGTAAAAGGATTCAGAAGTAGGTGTGGAAGTTCCTCCAAATTTCCATCCTGCTCCTGCTTTCTATGACACGTTCTGCACATTTGCATCACTTATCACTATCTGGAGCTGGTCTGTCCTGGTAGGGAATACACAGAGTTCAACAAGATCCTTTTCTTTTTGTTTTCCCTTTTTCTTTTGTTTTTAAATAATATAGTCTTGCACTGTGGCTATTCTAGTTTTTCACAGAAGTGGCAGGCAGCCAAAGACTGGAGTCATTATTTGCAAACTCTAAAAATAGAGTCAAGATTTATAGGAAGAAAACAGATATGTCTTGTTATAAAACCATGAATAAGGATTGGCACGAACATAACGGTTTATTCTTTTTTGATATTGGTTATTGTAAATTGCACTCTATCTTTCTGGGAGATACACTAGATAGTTCCAGTACAGAAACGTTTCCTTTACTCGAAAGTGCTGGAGAACTGCAGTTTATTTGTTGTAAAGACTTGATTATTCAAAGGAAGAGATAAGAGATGAGGTAGCCCCTGGGAATTCTGTGCATTGTTGGGGTGGACAGTTTGTTTTAAAAAAAAAGTATTAGTGATCTTCTTCTGCAGGTCACTGCTGATAAAAATTACATTCAATGTGTCTCTTTGCCCAGTGTAAAGGCGCCTCATGAGTTGCACTTCTGGTTAATACTGCTTGTTATTGTAAACCATGAACATCACATCCCTGATCTAGCTGTTGTTAATAACATTCCCTGCACTATCTCCTTCCTCGTAGGATCTGACAGGGAAGCAACGAAGGAAAAAAAAAAGGGTAAAAAGAAAAAAGGAAAAAAAAAAAAGGAGAAGCAGAGGCAAAAAGAGGGAGAGACTTTCACAAAGAGTTAAAAAGGCCTGATGAAATCCTTACAATGTACACCATATGGCTTGACATTTACCAGATTAGTTAAACATTTCTACTGGGGATAAATATTCCTGCACATCGATGTAAAGAAATTGCATGAGACAAGGGCACATACAGCATATTTATGCCATGGAGTAATCTTTTTTTTTTCTTTCCCCCCCCCCCCCTCCTCCCTTCCCCTTGGCTAGCAGAATTCAGGTTACTGAATATGTAAGGGCCAAGTGTACTAAACCCAAACAAACCCCGCTCCTGTACACTCCTGAGCTGCTGTCGATGTGGCTTCCAGCATTGCCCCAAACGCACTCAAAGCCCCCAACCCAAAAAAAGTTTTGAATGAGCAATCTTGCTGTAAAAAAAATACTAAACCCCAACTCTGTGGAGAGGCTGAAACATTAAAGTTTGTCAAAATCTATTTGAGCACTCGGGTTGCCCGTGGAGCGATGACTGTGATGGCTGCCAAGCTGATTTGAGCGGGTTGATGCAGAGGAGGTGACTGCTGGTGCCCGTGTCTGGTGTAGCCTACACCGCTCCTTGGTGAGCAGCCCTAAAGCCATAGATTTCATCTGATCTTTGCAAAGGCTAACATTTGTCTGCTGTCATTTTAGTGAG